GTAGTCAATCAGAGAGAGGCTCCAGTCATCAGGTGGAATTCTGAGGCACTGCATCACCAGACTCTGGTCTGGCTCTACTGTCCGTCACTCCCTTACATACTCTGCTCTGGCATGCATAATGAAATCAACTTGATGGGACCTGGTTCTAATCTCAAAGCTTTAGGACAGTAGACATTTTTGGCCTCATCTATTCTACTATGAAGATGTCCATTTCTTTCTGGCAAATACTGACCACACTGGTTCCCTATGTGGCGACGGGACAGCATTTACCACGTTCAGATGTTTCTAGTGGAGGATAAATGGCTTTTCAGCAGTTTGGGCCACTGAGTTGTCAAGTGGTTGAGGGTTTCCTTTCCTCTGTATTGTGTTGACTTGAGTGGGAGGGAAGGGCAATTTGACACTTTCCAGACAACACTCAACACCTCACTTAAGTAACTTCTGGTGTTTGTGGCATGGGCACCTCATAAAGTTTAATAAGGATTTTCCCAATCCACACATGGATTTGAATTAGCAAAATGCTCAAAGTACATCACAATTCATTTGTAATTAATTCCTTCATGCTTGCCAACAGCGTACTGAATGTATTTATACATTTTTATTTGTTTTCACACTATTAGTCAAGCCTATTAACAAGATACCAACACTCCCCTCCACTGTTTCGTGTATTCTTCAGATGACTGGCCTTTACAATGACAGGGCAACATGGGTAAAATTCTATCATGAACGGGAGAAAGAAGGCTAAGAAAGGAATTTTGCACATATCCCATGTATAACAATCTCCAGACCCACTAAGAAATTTTGCAAATCTTACTAAAACTGGTTTTTCTTCCCTCAAAATTGCTTAGAAGCTATGCTTGAGCAAGCACCTCCTAATTCACCTTGAAATATCCAGTAGTAATCAGTAGCAATAACCTGGGCTTTGAAAACATTTAGAATTACTAGATAACAGCATCAAATGTTTAAGCAGTTGTAGAGGACATGTGTCTCTCCTGATGCTCTTGGACTCCAAACTCCATCAGCCCCAGTCAGCATGACCAAAAACCAGGGAGGATAGGACTTGTAGTACTCAACAGCATCTGGAGGTTCACAGGTTCTCACTGGTTTCAGGCGAATGGCCAACTAGGTACCTGGAATTTTTCAGCCCCAAGAAATAACCAAGAAATATGGGTTGAAGCAGAGGTAGAAGCTTCTCTTCACCAGAGATTTCACTCACTCATTCTAAGGAAGAAAGAACTGCATTCTTCAGAGGAAAATATAAAACTTGCATAATATACCTAATTGAGATATATGATGCCATTGGGAGAAAGCTCTTCCTGACCCCAGCTGGTAATCAGTTTATGCCCCAAAGCATGAAGATTAATAGAACTTGTAACTTAATCCTTGCTAGTGTAAATGCAGATGCAGTTATCTTATACCTATCCTATAAATCAAAGGGCCTCTGTTTCTTATATAGCACATGCCACAGCTTAATACAGATAAATTATTGAGAGCCACCTCCTCCCCCATTCCTCTTCCCTCACCTTTCGTTTGCAATGGCATCCTGTCCCCACTGCAACTACAACCACTGACTAGAATGGCAACTAATAATAAAAACCATGCACCTATTTTAATAGTGTAACACAACTCAGGATGCCAGAGCAAGGCACCAAACATGTCTTACATAATATATATTGAGTTGGCCAATTCACTGCAGATTAGCATTGTCTCCTAAGATTCCTTGATGACTCAAGTGTACAACTGTATATTAAAACTTCCTAAGAACCCGATACTTGTAGTGCTACTCTTAACAGAAGTTCACTCCTCAAGGAGATGTATAGAACCACTGATAGGGAAAGGCACAAAATCCCTTAGCAAACAACAATAGAGATGGCTCGTACATATTTCCATGTCCACAAGCACCACACATCAACCCACTCTTGTTCTAATTTTGCCACATAGAACACAAATATTTGGATTATCTTGGTGATAACTCCAGCCAACTCAAAGCACCAAGCGGCTGAAGGACCACTGAGTCATATGTTCAATAGATCAAGGAGGTCTCCCAGGATGTCACTGTTTTATCAAGGCCTGTAGTAGATGGTGTGCTGCTCAGCTCCGTCTGCAACTGCAGGCATTCATTTTGCTCCAGATATTTAGCAGCAACCGCAGCAGCAGCAATATCCTGCATTTACAGCATAGCGTGTGTGTGTGTGTTATGTGTGTGTGTGTTGCATTTCAAATGCCAACTTGGATGGATGATGCACACCCCCTGGAAGCATCTGCGTCTGAATTTAAATGGATGGGGGAGTGACAGCAAGATCGAGTTCTCCTTCTGACAAGCCTTTGGCAGATCATTGGTTGTCATCAAACCTATTTCATTCCTTGCTCCCTGCCAGAACTGCCACCTACATTCCTGATGGCAATTAGTCCTTTGGAGGTGCTAATGAATAAAAACAGCATGCATACTTTTGCAGGACTGAGAAGAATATCCTGGTCCACATATATGTGTACACACACACACACACACACACACACACACACACACCCTATCTCTGTGTGTCTGTTGTGTAGTGTGTGAGCACCCACAGGAACATAGCCTGACATCTCTCCTTCCACATACAAGTAAAAACCCAGTTCCCTTATGATATTTGAGGAAGGGGATGTTGTCAGTTCAGTAATAAAAAAGCAGAATTTATTTATAATGAATCACTGCCATTTTTCAATAACTCAGTACTATGAAAGCATTAATTTAGATCTACTGACAAGTATACGTAACACCCATGGTTTTCCCACACTGAACACAAAGGTTACAAGAGAATCCTATCCATGAGACTTTTCCTTATGGATTGACTTCTGAATTTAAGTGTACCTGGGATTTACTGGTTCAAACACAGCTTGGAAGAATGGATGCTAAATTCAGAGTGACAAAATAGGTGTATTTATGGTTTGGTATTTATGGTATTTATGGGTTGGCCAGTAACAGGAATTTCTAAGGAGAAAATCTGTTCTCGTGACATTTCTATCCCAAATGCTGCATATCTAATGTGTCTGGACAGCTACACAGACTAGTGGGTGATGCACCAAATATTTGTATTTCCTCTGTAATGAAGCAGCATGCTTTTCTATGGAATGATTGTGATCCAGTGTGTACTAATGTCAGGGAGTTTTTGTGTTTGTTTGTTTTTTAGATATGTACTCCTAATTCTTACACACAGAATGGTGGACTACCAGCTTATGGAAATGTTAGTCATTTTGCCACATAAGGTTCTCCTTAAGCCCCATTAACATCATCGGTGATAAAAGAAGCTGAGTAACATAATCAATGAGGAAAATGAGCAATCATCTTCAGCCCAATGTTTGCAGTAAGTGCTCTTCAAGAAAGGGCAAAGCACTGTGGCACTACTGTAACAACTGGAATTGGATCAGGCCACTGGAACATTTAAGTCCAGGGGTCTTCTGTGACAGGCAGCAACTCTTCTTAGTCTGAAGGCAAGGGTAGATATTCCTGAGATCCCTTTTTCCACTGGCGATGCCATGGATGCTCTCCATGTGAAGATGGAAAGCATGCGCTCTACATGGACCTACAGCCTCTTTCCTCCCCACCCAAAATTATGTGGTGTACATTTCCATAGAAATGGTAACAGTCATAGATCTCCCTTATGTAAGCTATTTTTAAGATACAGCTTCTTACTCAAGCCACACAGTCGTCTACTGCGAATGCCACCAGAATGTTGCTTTTAGATTCTGCCTAGGTGAAATAGAAGGCATCTCTTCTTCTTCTTCTTCTTCCTCCCCCTTTTCCTCTTCCTCTTCCTCTTCTTCAGAAGGGGAGAGATTTAAAAGGAATAATTGTTTCATCATATGCTGACACACAGAATTTCCACAAATAAAGATGAGATCCTTTTTTTTCTCCTTTATTCCTGTTTGCAAAAATTCTCCTGCAACAGAAGCCAAGGCATTTTTGCTAACAAGGAGTACTTTTGTCGATATATGTATATCAGCAGTGCATGTGCACATACATATACACAACAGGTGCTACATGCAGTTGCATTTTCACAATCCTTGGAATTTTTCCATTGCTCTGCTGAACATGTTCCCACAAGGAAGTCTCCTTCTCAAAGGAGGCCTTCCTGGATGCCAGAGAATGAAGGAACCTCACCACAAATCAAATCACAATAAACAGAGACAGAAAAAAATAAAGAAAAATAAGACAGTGGTACCTCGGGTTACAGACGCTTCAGGTTACATATGCTTCAGGTTACAGACTCCGCTAACCCAGAAATATTACCTCGGGTTAAGAACTTTGCTTCAGGATGGGAACAGAAACTGGGCGGTGGCGGCAGTGGGAGGCCCCATTAGCTAAAGTGGTGCTTCAAGTTAAGAACAGTTTCAGGTTAAGAACGGACCTCCGGAACGAATTAAGTTCTTAACCTGAGGTACCACTGTACATACAAAGGCTCTTCATCATATTTACATCATATCCTTTATCCATCCCCAGAAAGGTAGACCTTCCCAGCTCCCACCTGTTTCTTCCTCCAGCCTCCCACCCTGGGAGACCCTTTCTACCCAGCTTCTCATGCGGGAGCCCCCATCTTCCAGCTGTTACCTTCCTGTGAGGGGCCACTTTAGAAGGCTCTACCGTGTAAAAATCTTCTCTGCAAGTAAAAAGAAATAGTACGTCAGGGAGAAATCATAATTTCAGAAATATCACCATTTTTTGCAATGTTTCATGAACTGTCAACGAGGAAAGCATTCTAAGCATGCTGAGAATGCACACTGATGATGGTGAGAATTACACCCATAAGACAACAATTTGAGAAAACAATCGTTTTGTGCTTTCGATCCCCAGCTTTTGCTGTGTAAAAATTGCAGGAGACAGTAGCCACCCTCCTGACACTGCCAAGGCTGCTGCTTACCTCTACAGATCTGATGCAGGGCAGGGTGGCAGTGAGGTCGGGGCACATAAGGGCAAGGCAGTCCTTCAAGTAAACTGGTCCCAAGTACACACACACACAATTCTATCAATGTCTAACTGTTTTTAATGATTTTCCTCCCTAAGTTTATAGCAGTTCTTATTTTCTGTACGCCACCTTGAGTCCCTGTCAGGGGGAAAGATGGGATAGATAGAAATATAATATAATATAATATAATATAATATAATATAATATAATATAATATAATATAATATAATATAATATAATATAGTATAGTATAGTATAGTATAGTATAATATAATAATATAATAGTGGAGTTGGAAGGGATCCCAATGGTAAACTAGACCAATGCCTGCAATGCAGGAATTCTGCCCACAGTCATCCCTGGGTGGGCTTGAAACACCAACCTTCTGGTTAACAGCCAGACACATTGACCAACAACACCACAGTGCTCCTAATCCCACAGAGCTGGTTCAGGAGGATACCGTGGTCAGAAGTATTAAAAGTCACAGACAGATTGAGAAAGAGGAGCTTGGTCACGCTCCCCTTGTTCCACTCTTAGTAAAGGTGGTTCCACAGCCAGGCCTGAATGCAAATTAGAATGGGTCTAGACCATCCAATAATATTTACAGCTGCCCTACTGCAACCCTCTCCACCACCTTCCTTAAGGAGTACTTGTGACTGGTATGTTAGTCCAAACAACAGGTCCAGGGCCGGCTTCTTTAGCATTGACCACACCGCCACCTCTTACAAGGTGCCAGGGACATCCCTCACACATTGAAGTGTTACCCGTACTCTGGACATAACCAGTCAACTTGCCTCTGCTAGATCTAATAAGTGAAGTGGGACAGGGGTCAAGAGGACATGTGGCCAGATGTGCATTTTGGCAACTGGAGAAGAAAACCCCCAAGTGCCTTTCCACCTCCCTGGCAGTACAGATAAAATAAGAATAAATTAATGCCCAATAATTGCTGCCCTTTCATGAAACTCAAAATCTGCTGCCTGAGGCAGCCACCTACCTAATGCTAGGGCCAGCCCGGATTGGGATGTTGATATAATAGTCTAATCCTCATTCAGAAATTCTTCATATAGATGATTCCATTATATTTAATCACCTGAGGTTCTTGGGCAGTAAAATTGTTCTATTTTTCTTTCCAGCTAAATGTCAGCTGTAGAGTAAAAATAAAACCGAGGCAAATAGTAACAGCAATGAAGTAATATTTCAGGTACATGATTATCTTTCAATGTATTTTTAATTATGGCACGATTCAAAATAACTTCGCACACAGTAATCACTCCAACTGTTGACTCATCCTCACGTCCACATGGCTTCATTAAAAAAAATCTCGTTTTTAAATGATCAAAACATAACATTTTGCTGGAACAGATGCCTTGTTTGAGCAAAGTGCGACATTTCTTTATTATTCAAAATGCTTCAATTTTAAACAAAATATGAGTAATAGCCAATGAGGAGGGAAAGGTGCTGAGGGCAAAGTCTGTGGCAACCCTCGCTCTAAGTGACATTACCCTGAGGCCATTTCCACAACCAGAGCTTGCCTGACATTGAGACATGACTTTAAATTGATTGAACTTAACTTACTTGTTACATTTTGCCTTCAAATTTTGCCAAGTCAAGGCAAAAGGAAGTTCAAAACATTGTAGTCACAGGAACTTGCCAATGATTCATTTCATCATTTTTGATGCTATGAATTACAGCCTACACCTTATTTCTCCTTATTGTTAGGTCCCAAGAAAGACACCTACTCTGGTAACTAATGAAGCTTAATGCATCAGATGATCTGACAGCTCTTCTCATCTCCTTTACATTTCTGTTTTTCCCTATGGAAGCCCCCAAATAACCCTTTCTGAAACATTCTCTAGATGCACAACGTAAGCTATTTGCCTTGAAGTTTGTTCTAGCAAGAAGAAATAATGCTTGGTTTTTTGTCATAGCTCCCATTCTATTGAATGCTTTCTCTGAAGAGGCCTGCCTGACACAAACTTTGTCCTTTTTTTCAACAACAGGCAAATATGCTTGTGTTTTCCTGGGCCTTTGGGTAACACCAATGATCGTATGCTTTCTTTAAATTCTAGGTTTTAAATATGCTTTAATATGTTTACAATTTTTATTACTGTACTTTATTTGCTTTGGGACTTTTTGTTGTGAGACGTGTGTCATAAATTCAATCAGCCTAAGTCTAAAGTAGGGACACGGGTGGCACTGTGGTCTAAACCACTGAGCCTCTTGGGCTTGCCAATCAGAAGGTCGGCGGTTCAAATCCCCGCAACGGGGTGAGCTCCCATTGCTCGGTCCTAGCTCCTTCCAACCTAGAAGCGGCTTAGTCGTGCTGGCCACATGACCCGGAAAAACTGTCTGCGGACAAACGCCGGCTCCCTTGGCCTGTAAAGCGAGATGAGCACCGCAACCCCAGAGTCGTCTGCGACTCGACTTAACTGTCAGGGGTCCTTTACCTTTTTTAAAAGTCTTGCAAGAACAGCAAGGAGTCATATGGCACCCTCAAGACCAGAATCTAGAGCACCAACACTTATTTCCATACTAAATTTGTTGGTTTATAAGGTGTCATGAGACTTTTTATAATTGTTTGCTGTTTCAAAAGGTGCATTTAAGATATCCTCAATTATTAATATTTATTTGCAAACGTCTGGTTCCTCTTACGAAAGTTCAGAGAGTCTTACCCAGAGCTTCTCATGGTCTTTGATTCAGACACCGATACAATCAGACACACCAAGATAAATCGATGGGCCTTACAATCACCGGGACAATGAGATGGCTAACTCACATCCAAACCTCAGGCATGATTTTAAGTGAGCTCAGGATGAATTACAAGCGCATGTTGGCTCACATATATACATATATTGCCTCCTTGTTCAACAAGGCATGCTCCTGGGAGCTGCTCCACTCCAAGATAATCAGACTCAACAAACACAGATCAGTTGTTCAGATAGTTTTGCTTTGTAATCTAGGGATTTTTTTTATTTGTTTTCTGCCACTGCAGAATAAAAAGGTGTGTTTTCATCCCTTTGCCAATCCTCTTTAGAAAAACAAAAGTACATGTGTCATCCTGGATCAGACCACTTCTTTGTTTGGTCTTGCTGCAGAGTCAATTTCACTTGGGGGAAGGAAAAAACCTGCCCAGAGGGTCAGGAAAGTAAATATATGGCAAGAAAGAATGACGTTGACGTTTAATGACTAAAGTCAGACATATCTCCACAACAAAAGCCCAGAAAATGTGAACATACTCAATCCTGGCTTCATAAAGTGATTCATTATTATGTCACACACAGGAAGTTAGAATCACCCCAGTTAAATCATCAGAAATGTTATCAGAAACAGCTTCCTGTTTACTCGGAGCCGAAGCAACGGGCACACATATCAGCAATGGCCATTGTAATGGATACGGCCTTTGAGTTTATTGTAATAAAGTAAATATCAATCTTCAGATCAGTGTCACAGATGCCCCTCGGTATCCATAGAAACAGGAAGTGCTTTCTTTACCCCCAGAAACTCTCCCATACATAAAAACTTGCTTGCAGCTAAAACATGTATGCAGCTAAATTCTACTGAGAGTAGACTGATTTAAATTAATGGACCTAAGAAGTTTATCACGTTCATCCATTTCAATGGGTCTACTCTGAGTATGACAAGCATCAGAGGTGGATTTAGGGGAGCGTGACTTGTGCGCCCACATTGGGTGCGGAGCCAAGAGTGTGCTGCAGGGGGTGTCACAACAATGACAAACAACGGAAAGTGAGAACATGGGAGTGTGGTGCCAGCGCAGTGGGGGAATGCATGGCACATGTCCGGGGGGGGGAGCCGCGATTGTACCCCCCTCCCCGATGGTGTCGGGGGCAGTGCGCTCCCCCCGCCCTCGTTCCTCCACCAGTGCCTACTTGTGATTTCCTGCAGCTTCCATTCAAGATCTTCCACACAAAGCTCCACAGAAGCCGAAGTGTGGGGTCAGGGGGAGATCTTTGTGGCAGGGGATTATTTGAGGAGACTTCCACATGGGAGGTTATTGTGGACTTGGTGCCACTGACGCACGCAAGGTTTGCACAGCATCTACATGACATCCTCCACCTCAGAATGAGACCCTATTTTACAGTGGTACCTCAGGTTACAGACGCTTTGGGTTACAGACACGTCGGGTTACAAACTCCACTAACCAGGAAGTGGTTGCTCCAGGATAAGAACTTTGCCCCAGGATAAGTACGGAAATCGCATGCCAGCAGTGCAGTGGCAGCAGAGGCCCCATTAGTGAAAGCACACCTCAGGTTAAGAACGGACCTCTGGAACGAATTAAGTTCTTAACCCGAGGTACCACTGTACTTTCCCTTTTAATCTGGATTTACCATTTCCATGGAAATCCCCAAGTACCAGTCTGGATTGAACCGGGGGGTAGGGGAGAATGTGGGTTGGCATGATGTATGGACACTGCACAAAACTTACATTTGTAAGCCCACAATAAACTTCCACCCTCAGCCACGCAGCCCAACTAACAAGCATCGAAAGAAAGAAAGAAAGGAAGGAAGGAAGGAAGAAAGGAAGAGGAAGGAAGGAAAATTTGACTGGGGGGAGACAAGAAGAGAAGGGGAGGTCCCTTGCAAGGAATGGAAGAGGAAGGGAAAGCTCCAGAAGAGTTTAATGAAGGTGGAAAGGAAGTTGCATTTGACTTTATCTTCTCTTTTTAAATTCTCCTTTTTTTCCATCTATTTCCCCCCCCCCCTATGTTATTCTTGAGCGCCATATGCCCAACTGCACAGAAACTCTTCTCTGTAGAGAGTGGTTTGCCAGTTGATTAATGAGGAAGAGGGGGGAGTGATCCATTTGCGTGTGGCAAGACGTTCTAGATGTGTTCCCTCATTCCCCTTAGCAACAGGCCCCAGGGAAGTACAATAGCTGCCCTCAGACATGAAAGTGAGTCTTTGCTCAAATCCACTCCTGACCATTACCCGGCATTCCCTATTATTTTACAATAATACTCGCTACCCGCCCCCAAATAAATTGATTGGTATTTTAGAACATAGGCTAATCTTCTGTGTTATCTGTGCCAAGACTCAGTTCAATCTCAAAGATGTCTAGTCTACTTTTCATTAATTTGCCATTCCTGCTATCTGATGTCATTCTCTAATACATAAATACAGGAAGGATCATTAATCACAGATACTCGATCAGGAACTTTGAAATGTTGAAACATGCATACAAAGTTTTATTGGCACATATCTATGAGTACAAAGCTTCGACAATTCCACTTGGGAGAAAAAATACTTTCACTTACAAAAAAATTAAAATACAGTGGTGCCTCGCAAGACGAAATTAATCCGTTCCGCGAGAGTCTTCGTCTAGCGGTTTTTTCGTCTTGCGAAGCAAGCCCATTGACGGATTAGTGCTATTAGCGCTATTAGCGGTTTAGCGGCTATTAAAGGCTTAAAGGCTTAGGAGATTAGCTGCTAAAAGGCTATTAAAGGCTATTAAAGGCTTAGCAGATTAGATAAAGGGGGGGAAAAGCGAAAAAAAAATTTCAAGACTCGCAAGACATTTTCGTCTTGCGAAGCAAGCCCATAGGGGAATTCGTCCTGCGAAGCAACTTCAAAACGGAAAACCCTTTCGTCTAGCGGTTTTTCCGTCTTGCGAGGCATTCGTCTTGCGGGGCACCACTGTACTTGAAAAAAATATTAACCCTGTCAAAGAATTAACATTAGACAGATTAGGCCGTGCTTTATATATATTTTTATCTGAATTCAGGATGTCAGAATTCTGCTCTAAGTGGATGCAGATACAGACATTTCCTCCGTTCGTATATTCATTCAGCGTTCAGTAACACCATGCCTTTAAGCAAATGCAATCTGCATTCATTCACAGTGGGTTATTGTTTTATGTCCACAGATTATACATATTAATAGTGCATTTTTTGACATGTCACTTTCTTTGACATTTCCTAATATTGCTATCATGAGGCTCAAAAGAGGTTTAGAACCCTGCAGGGAGATGCCTAATAGACGAGCTGTTTGCTGCTTCTTTTACTTTGAAGGGGAATGCAGAGGGAATTGAATAACTGAAGCTAATTTGCTTTTAAGGGCTGCCAAGCTATGAGAAAGTATTTATGCACACTGGTGCCTCTTTGCTTTTCTTATGCAGCCTATATGCACTAAGATTGCAATCCTTAGCGTGTCTGCTCAGAGGTTAGTTTCACTTGGGCTCTTACCATCATATGAGGTGCAGTTGTCTAAAGGTGCAAAGATTCTAGGTTGTGATCTTCTTGGTCTTTATAACTTCACCCTGGAAAACAAAGGAATTACTCTAGGCAAGTGGTTCAGACGGGTATGGCAAACTGCCCTGGAAAATTTAACTATTTGGTATTGCAATATTTTGAAATATTTATTATGCCCGTGCATGATAAACTTTCACTAAGTGAAAGTTTTATAGAGTAATAAAATTCAAAGCTGTAATTGAATAATATGTGATAGAGTTATAATAATTATAACATCATTGTAATTAGATTATAATTATAACAATTATATTTTAATAATCAGGTTTAATTTATGAAATCATCAGAGACTAGATTTCAATTAGAGGAGACACAAGACCGGCGCTTGAATGAATGCGGTATTTAGGCAGTCAGTTAAGTACTTCAGCAATCAACACCACCATATTTTCAGTAGTTGTGCCTAATGCAAGAAAGGTATTTTTTAATTGGAAATACATTTTCCTTATCCCTACCTAGTCAAACATAATTGACAGAATTCCTTTACATTTTCCTAGACTTTGAGAAAATACTTTATTTATTCATCCCCTCCACCCACAGTTTCACTGCAACATTACTAGGGGATAAGCTTGTAAAAATGAAGACTCTGGTCCAAATTTCACTGGAGTGAAACATACGTTAAGGCTGGGGGGTGTGTGTCTATTTAGGTAGGGATCAAAAAGGAAAAGTGGTGGATGTTTACTTTAGTACTTTTGAACTGTGTGGGTGTGGCTTAAAAATGCCTTGGTTCCTCTTTTTCTAGACAGGTTGTCTAGACTTCCCTTCCCTGCCACACATGAGTACATGGACCTAATACCGCGATCAGTCTTCTGAACATTAAACAGACATTACATTTCCTCTGAAAAATAAGCACATTTCCCCCCCCACACACACCTTTTTTCCACCTATGAGTGAATGTAATCTTTCAGAAGGATGTTCACGCCTATGCACCCAGACATAGTTTCATATTTTGTCCATTTGTCCTGTGGGAAGGACTAACCTTTGAAGACGCACCCATGGGCCTTTTCACGCCTGCAGAAGTGTCCCTTTTATTCCATGGGAGAGGGGTCCTGGTTCAGTAGCAGGCCACATCAAGTGCAGACAGAAGGTCTCAGGTTCAAACGCTGATGTCTCCAGTTAGAATAATTGGATAGCAAGTGACAATTGGAAAGACCTCTGTCTGATATCTTGGAGAGCCACTGTCGATCACAGAAGGCAATGCTGGTCGAGCTCAGTAAACAAACAGTCTGTCCTGATATAAAGGGAGTTTCTGTTTTCAAGGGAGGCAGGAGATTGCTCCTTAATTTTTTGGGGTTCATTGAACAGCACAATATACAAGAATATACAAGAATACAGGACTCGTAACCAATAATTTTGATAGTAATACTAGTAAACATTGGCCAGTATTTCCATAGAATCATCCGATTGTAGAGTTGGAAGGGACCACGAGGGCCATCTAGTCCAGCCCCCTGCAGTGCGGGGATCTTTCACCCAATGTGGGTCTCAAACCCACAACCCTGAGGTTAGGAGTCTCATGCTCTACTGACTGATAGGTTTGGATCCAGAATATATTAGCTAAATTGAGCCCCCCTCCCTGAATTCAGTGGGGCAAACTAGTCATCACTTCTATTCATTTCAGTAGGAACTAAGTTCAACTAGCTTAGTCTGGATGCATCCCATTCTGTCTGTTCCATTATGCTCCATGGCCAGGAGTACAAGGGGGTGTACCAGGTGTACAAGAGACAACTGATGGTGCAGTACAGTTTCTTGAGGTTGTCTCTATGGTCATTTAGAGAAGTATAGTATATCCTCCAACATTTCTCCGATGGAAACAGAAACGTCCCATTCCATAATGATAATTTTACTATTTATACCCCACACATCTTACTGGGTTGCCCCAGCCACTCTGGGTGGTTTCCAACCTATATAAAAACATAATAAAACATTAAACATTTTTTAAAAGCTTCCTGATACAAGATTCCCTTCAGACAGCTCACGGGTTACTCCATACCCTCCAACATCTATCCGATGAAAATAGGGAAGTCCTAAGGAAAAGCGGGATATTCTGGGATCTGATCAGAAACCAGGATAGCCTCTCTAAATCAGGGCCTTCCCTGGAAAATAGGGACACTTGGAGGATCTGGTATAGATGTTCTCTTGCATAGCTTTAAAGCATTTCAGACTGAAAAATGCATGCCATGTCAGATGGAAAACATATGGTAAGGAGATATTTATTTTATGTATCATATTTGTATACTGCCCTTCATTCTGGAGATCACAGGGCAGTTCACAAGATAAAAACACAAAATGTTAATAATAATAATATTTCAATATTATTTATACCCTGTCCAACTGTCTAGGTTGCCACTCTGGGAGGCTTCCAACACATATAGAAACATAATCAAACATCAAACATTAATAATAACAATCTGATCCGTTACAAAAAAAATCACAATAACTTTGAAATAAACAACTTATATCAAATAAAGCAATATTCAATAATCTATTAGAATATAAAAGTAAACAGTAAAAAATATCAGCAAATAATTGTTAAACAGTTTACACTTAAACTATAATCAATAAAAATAATTGCCGAGTCATGATGCATAAAATACCACAAAACATGTAAAAGGATCAAATTGAGAAACAAGGGCACACAACTTACAAAATTATTTTCAAAAAGTATCCCTGAACTCCTCTTCTCTCTTCCCAGCTGCTTATGCTGTTCTCAAAGTCATGGTCTGGGAAAAACTGCTGGACCTGGAAGATGAGGCAAGGCAGGTGGGAAAAGCCATTGCCTGGTGAAGAACAGAAAGTCTCTCTCCCCTCATGTTGAATTCTTGGGCTGCTCTCAAAATACATAAAAAAACAAAAGCAAAACAAACCAATGATCACACCCTCCACAAACACATTTAAATGTCCTAGAATGTTAATCAGCCAAAGACCCAATTATAGAGAAACATTTTTGCTTGGTGCCTAAAGATACTGTATGTAAGGAAGGCATCCGGTGAGCCTCCCCAGGGAGAGTGTTCCATAAGCAGGGAGCCACCACAGAAAAGGCCCGATCTTGTGTTGCCGCCCTCTGGATCTCTTATGGAGGAGGCACACGAAGAAGAGCCTCAGATGATGAGCACAAGGCCCGGCTCAGTTCATATGGGGAGAGGCATCCTTGAGGTATTGCACTCCTGAGCCATTTAAGGCTTTATTCATGGTTTACTGATACCAGGTTGATTAGCCCATTTCATAACTGTCCTAATAGCACTGCAATATATATCTCCATATAAAAATATAAAATGTAAAAATACATAAAAATGTAAAAATCTTTTAAAAATATGAATGCACAAATAAGAGAAAAAAAATATGTTTCCTGTTCTCTGCACATAGCCTTAGTAAAAACAAGCCTTTAGAGTATAACTTCTCACAATCACAGAAGTAGGGAAGACTTCAGACCTGTACAACAAAACCATTGTAGTTACACAGTGTGGAAAATTCAATCCTGGTTTTCTTTAATTCAGTTTTACGAGCTTCATTCTACTAGCGTTCAGTTATGCTGCAGTACAGAAATGTGTCTTCTTGTTTCCATTACAAACAAGTCTTTGTGCTCTAAATTCATATTGTACCAAAACTTGGCATTCTCAGCCCAAACCACAAAATTACGTTTGTTTGTTTCCTGAGACCTAGAAAAGTATACTTGGCAATTTTTGAGTCGTGTGACAACAGGATTGTTTAGATTTTCCATAGGCTATTCTCATATAATTGCTGCATCCAGCAGTCCTGATGCCAGGGCATGCCAGAGGGATGCTGCGGACCACAAGCAAGAGAGTGCTGTTGTGCTCATGTTGTGCACGTAGCCTTCTCCTAGGCCTCTGGTTGACCACCGTGAGAGCGGAAGGCTGGACCAAGGCTGGACCATCCAGTCTGGTCAGCAGGATGCGTCTTACATATCATATGCTATGTTCTCTGGCAGAGGAATCAATTTATCTACTCAGTTCTGATGGAAATGTATCTATGGATGTAAACAGGTTGAGGATATCATGCACTGTTTGTTGATTTGCCCTTTATATATGGTGCCCTGAGAATTATTATTTTTTAATTAATCTTCTATTCTCTACAGGTTCTCAGATCGAACCCCAACCCCCCCGGAAATGATAGTTGAACTCTTAGCTGAAAAATACCTAGAGATTAAACTTCTGTTAGCAAAGTTTGCTCTGGCAGATAGGAAGCTTTGCTCCAGTTACGTTAAAGCATTGTAATTTCAAAACGTTATACTGTGTAATTTTAAATGTATGTTGTGCAATTCTAGATAAATGTTTATTCATTTCTGTGGAGGCCATTTCCTCAGTGGGGTGATTGATTACCCAGTTCTCTCCTCTTCTTACTTAAAGAACACAAGAGCGCCAATAATTCCTACTCGCTAAGAAGAAGGGTGAACTGAGCCTAGCATTAAGCAGTCATATTTCTTTGAAGCACTCAAGGGTCCCCAACCCATATGCGCCCACTTGACTGCTTTGACAGGCGGAATTGGACCTTTTACAGCTGCCACATAATACCTGCACTACATCTGTAAGAACTCGGCCAAGTAGTATGGCAGCACCGACATTTTGGAACTCCCTGTCCATGGATATCAGTCAGGGGCCTCTGCTGTATTATTTTTTGGTGCCTGCAGAATGCATTTTTATTTAGACAAGCCTACCCAGATGTTTTAAAAAGTTGTAGGAGTTTTAATCTGTTTTAGTCTATTCTGTGGTGGTTTTAACTTTTCTGTATGTTTTAAGTTGTGATTGTAATTTTTTTTAGCGATTGTTTTATCTTTTTTTCTAAACTGTTTACAGGTTTTTTTTCTGCAATCAAGTAGCACATAAGTTTCATGAAATAAATAATTTTTTAGCGCAGGAATGTGAGAGGGCAGAGTGGCAGTGATGGCCTTCCAGGGACACTGCATTTACAAAGATGGCGGCAACTTCAAGGGACCTCTGAGTTGGCAGTGGCAACTGCAGCTGTACACACAGTTTTGCGGTGCCACCACTGCCAACTCAGAGCACTGCCCATCTCTTTCTTGCCTCACCCCATTCCAGCGAAGGCAGTGCAATATGAGTGCCACTGCCACACCACACACCTTCCCCACACTCTGCTGCTGTAGATAGGATGTCAAACAATGCCTGCTTTAAATTCCTAGAAGAAACCAGCAGGGCATTTTGAAGATAGGATGTCATCTGGCAAAATACTCAGTTGCCCACCAAAGGAAACTATCTTAAAAATGCAAAGCTAGATAGAAAGAAAAAAACCTTGTGTTTTTAGACAAGCGTACCCATAATTTATTTTCATTATCTGTTCTGGATTAATATGGAAACCTATACAGTATGTATTAAACTGATAGATACAGATATACGCAGACATAGTTTGAGCAGTTGCATGAAACAAGACTGAAAGTGCAGCAAAACTACTTCGCCCACCCTCTATTTTCCAAATCAAAATTTTAAAGGTCTGGTTTTGACCCGCTCACCCGCCAGAGCACAGAAAGTGCTCTAAAAAAACATACCCAACCAGCCGTGCTCCTAAAACAAGAACAACCACTGTTTTCTTTAACAAAATAAGCCACAACCAGAAAATGGAGGAGGCTTCTGTTTTCCTAAAGACCTTCATAATGATTTGTTTGTTCTCTGTGGAGAGATTCTCTTTAGTCTGAAGTGCTGGCTAAATCTTCACCATGTATTTGTGACTTCACAAAACCTGCTTACTTATTTATTTTACGACGTGGTTGTTAATCTTGACAGCTCATAAATGATGCGAGGAAGCCTTGAAATGTGTGTGTGTTCTACTCAGAGAATCATTCAGATATTCGGACACATATTAATCAAGACCTCTTGACTAGTTTTTGTGCTGCGGTTAAAAGAATCCACAGGATGCAATGCCCCCCCCCCAGCTGGCCCGTAAACCGCCCAGTGTCAGGCTATGTAAAAATACCTAACGTGGTGAAAGACCTGATTAAATACTTGATGGAGCATCTGTATACCGGTGGATCCATACCTCTCTCTTCCAAATAGCATGGGGGGAGTTAATTAAAATGAATGGAGGGGGACTTGCAAAAAAGGTAAGTATTACTTCGTACACACATGCATTGGAATTGCACGACAAGTTTTAATTAATCAGTAAATGGCTAAGTTTAACCAAGGTGAGCAAATCTGAATTGGTGAGACTGAATTAAAAGCACACTTGTCTATTTTTGTACACCTTTTTTATTCTAATGTGTTGTTGCAACAAGGAAAGCCAACCAGCAAGAGGGGCAAGCCCCCACCATTTTATAAACCGTTCCCCTTTTTATTTAGAGTAGGCCTGAGTGTGCATCTTTTTGTTTTTGTTTTCTTTTGAGCAAAAACAAAGCTACCCTCTTTGCACCAGCCATTGTACTACTGATACACTATGAGCCCTGAATCTCAGCTAGTGTTAAGTTTGAGCTAAATACAGAGCCCGTTCCCACCCCCAGCCTGTGTCTGGAAGGGCTCTCCTGATTCCATCAGAATTAAACAACACCTTTCCATGCTTCCTTAATGACTAATGCTGCTGGAATCATAACCCCAAAAGTGTGGGAGGCTACAGCACCATAGACTGGAAGGTGGGACTTTCCAAAGCTGCAGGTAGAATTGGCCTGAGGGATTTTTGACCATGGGAAAATCTGAAAAATCCCCTTTGCCTCCCCCACACAAGGCCAAGTGCTATATTTCCGCTTTTAAATCCAGGCCTAAATAACTAATCTGTGCTACAATATTCCACAATTTTTATTACCTGGTTCTCAGCTATTCCACAGACCAATCAAAGGATAAGTCTGGAGGTGGTATAAAACAAAACATTTGGAAATTACCTTTTGAGCAAATGTATCTGAGGTAGCTAACAAGACATACTGAAAAGTGGCACAAAAGCAAACATCATATAAAAGCACACCATGTTTCTCAAACACATCATATGAAACTGTCACTAGCAGCAACCCAAATACACTTCTCCAAAAAGGAGCCAATTCTCACCTCACAGAAGAATAGGTTTCCAAAAAAAGAAATAGATAGACAGAATTTTACATTTATTTATACGCCACTTTTTCCCCTGACAGGGACTCAAGGCGGCTTAGAGATAAAAAGAAGAACCACTAAAACCAGAGAAAAATCAATCATGAAAATATAATTGAACATTGATAGAATTAAAACTACATGCAACTATAAAATTTGTTTAAAACATACCAAGAATTGCAATAAAAGTAGCATGGCACCAGTTAGCCCTGCCTCTTTCCTTAAACAACAGAAATGGGTGTTGGGTTTCCAAGTGTTTTTTAGTGAGTTTTTCTCACCAGTCAGAGATGGTCGGCAGAATATGAAAGGGGCTGTTGTTAGTCTTTCTTGCTGGTCCTCATACTCTGCCACTCAGCCACTGACTGATATTGAATAAACTAATTAAAAGGAAGGTTCTCCTTCTTCCTTCATCTATTTCCAGAATGACTTCCAAGGAGCCCTAGTTTACCCTTCACTAGAGAAGATATGAATTAGGTTCCTCTGCACATTTGAAAATGTACCAGCATTGTTCAGGTTTTTGCCCCAGCTTTGGCTACCCCTCCCCATCCCGGTATCCTCCTCTCTTCCCTCTCAGTTGTGGTGAATATGGAAGGCATCTCTGATGTTTGTTGATTTCTCTGGCTTCTTCTGATTGCCCTGATCAACTGTTTTTGTCTCTTCTTATTTCTTATCCAATCAGCTAGGAAGTATGGAAGGGCTGTCTGTTAGAATACATCCAGACTCGGACTAAATATAATTTTGGAAAGGTTTTTACTTTAAATAATATTTTCCCCGGCTTAGAAAGAATTCCCATATACTTCTGAGATATCATTATGCTTCTCTGTGTGATGAGACGTTCCAGGAATGAGATGATTCCCCAGTTTGTTTACCTTTGGAAGAAAGTCGCTGGAGGCTTATTGCATTCTGAAATGTTTGTGTTTATTTACAGTTACGTAGGTTGACCATAGGCGGTGGCACATAGCTTAAGCTCTCCAACAGACAGCATAAAGTTCACTTTTCCCATATCAGATCTCCAGGGAGACAGGCGTCCTCCTAAAATGATTCCAGTCTGCCTGCCTCAATTTGAAAGCTATTGTCCTTTTCACACACCCCTTTTCCTCTCACCTTGGGAGTGGAGACCCAGACAACCCATCTCCTCTAAGAACCATTGCCTCCAACCATTGCCTTCTCAGTTCCCACAGGGCCATCGGGGCCATCAACAGTCTTTTGTCAATTCTTAAAAGTCTGGGCAGGTATTGCCTCAGGCAGCTCAGTTGGCTTTACTTACAGAAATCTGATAAGAGATCCATAACAATATATGTTTGAGATGCTGAAAGATAACATGTATTTCACATGCAGAAACTCTTGAAGTATCAGCTTTAATGCTGCTTCGTTCAGCTATAAGACATTTTATCAACATGATCGTGACATGAGGATTCGCCATTATCCCAGAGTACAAAGATGACAGATAAACCCACTGGTGATGGGTGAACACGGAATGAAACAATTTCAAGCCAGGTCAGAGATGTGCTTGACAAGTTGCTCAGAGACTATTGAACGAGAGTCCGCTTGTGTGGGCAATTACAGCATGAACTTGAACCCTGAAAGCTAAATCATTTGCTCGCCAAATTGTGTCTATTGGGGCAGAGGCTAAAGTAATTGCTCAGGGTGTTATAGACCATGTCCAAGATTGTTTATTCATTAGCATGCACATCTCTAAACTTGTGACACACAAGACACTAGTAAATGGAAGACATGCGATATATCTCAAAAGCTCTGTGCCACCTCACCACACTCCAGTACTTCCAAAGTTCAGGATTGCATTGTGCAGTTTTCCTATACATTTGCCAATTAACAAAGCCGTTGGTTGCCAGGAGGCACTGAAGAAATCACTGACTGGGCAGATAAAACCATGTGGACTCATTTCTCTCTTACACTAGTAGCAGATTAATGCAATTAAAACAGCTTTGTTTTTACTATTGCTGCACAACTGTAATGAAAAATGAAGTGTCTCAGATGTAGCTGAGTGATAGAACACATATTTTCCATGCAAAAGGTCTCTGAGAATACCAAATCTCGAGAGCTGGAGACTTGAGCTAGATGGACCAGTAATCTGACCAATAATCTACCATGGATGAGAGCTCAATATCAAGCCTACCAAGTGGTAAAAGCAATGGCAAGGAAGACTTTCTTTGCCACCTCTGTTGCATATGTGGAAAACAGTTCCAGGACACTCTTTCAGGTGGTTCGTAGTCTAACAGAGCCACCTTCACCATTCCGGTCTGGTAAGGACTCAAAAATATCCTGCAATGGTTTTGCAAAGTTTTTTGCAGATAAATTTGCTCGAATTTGGAAAGAAGTAGACTCCACCGTGGTAGCAGAGCGTGGCGGGAGAGTGCCAGCACTCTGTCTAATCAAGTTGTAGGAGATCAATTTCAACCTGTTATCTCCATGGATGTGGACAGGCTGCTCAGATGAGCGAAACCGATAGGTAGCAGTGTGATGGTGGGAAGGTGATGAAGAGGGAGGTTACTGCCAGTCAAAGGCTGTTTCCAGGAACACTGGAAACCAAAGTTGGGTTTTACAGTTAAGGAGTGGTTTGTTTAATGTGGACCACTGTTTTGCCTGAAAAATCATTGCATCACAGCCGGCTACTGTTAAGTATGATTGAGGCACTATTTGCATTATTTCAGTCTATTGATAAAAGACTGGTTGCATGGGCATAGCCAGTGGGGGGGGGCAGCTGCCCAGCCCCAAATCAAGTAAATCAATGCAAAATAGTTAAGTAAAGTCAGGTTCCACCCCCTCCCGCCCCAACATAAATCCTGGCTATGCCCATGAGTGGCTGATCCCAAATCCCCAGGAACTCAGAGCACCTTTTGGATAAAACAAAACTAGTGAAAAGAACAAAAGCAGGAAGTTTAGCATGTAACAAAGACCTGTGTGGATTAAAAATGGCTTGCCTTTGTTTTGTTATACAGTGAAATATCAGTAAATGGGTAATGGTTTGTTCTGGTTCTTGAATGATAATGTTCAATGTTTTGTATATTTTGTAAACTTAATAAAAACTATTTAAAAGATATTTATTTTCAATATGCATTTTATTTCAATGTACACCTTTCTAAAATATGTAATGTCACAGATTTTTCAAAACATGTTTTTAACTGTATAGCAAAAGATATCTGGAGAAGTGCAAAATCTGAATGATAATTACATTTCAATTCATTTATTAGTCCAATTCATCTATTAGCATAATAGATCAATTTGCTTGAAAATGCAGACCAAATTACATTTTTTTCCTAATAAATAGAATTGTAAATCACTTAGAATCCAATATAATAAAGCAGATTTTAAGACTGAACCTTTTGGGTCAGAAACTTTCAGTATTTATTTTGAAAAAGTATTAGTGCAAGCATACTGGTTTCCCATCATTTCCTAGGATATGACTCACAACAAGGCAAATTTATTCCAAATTATGCAACAGTTGTACAACCTTTCAAGGGACAGATATGGGGCAATGGAAGCCTCAAGGAGGAGTTACGAAGCAACAGAAGTCTTTGCTATATGACAGTCAATCTCTTCCTGCAACTGTTTATCTTTATGTAAATTGCTCACGTTTACTGAGTCCTGCTTTGTCTTGGCTGCCTTTCTGAATTGGCAGCTACAGTGTTTACTGTGGGAGCAGAGTGCCCTTGTATCATAAGTACTAAATGAAGGTTGCGTACAGATCACCATTTATTAGGGATAAATGGGCATTCATTCCCCACTTTCCTTCGTTTGCCTCCCCACACTCTTGAAGTCTGTGGGGTGACTTTGTTATTTTTGCTCATCTCTCCCCACCCCTGGAAGTCAGTTGCATAAACTGATACACATAGAAATGGTTAGCTGTGGCTAATAACCTTGTTATTGATCCTGGTAGAGCTTTCTTGTATAGATTTTGTGACAGAATGAAAGGTCTCTGTTGTCTCTTTTTAGATTGGATCTTTCTGGCTTGCCATGTTCAAGTTCGGTACTCAACTCAGCCCGGGGAGTCCGTAGCATATGCGCTGCTGGGGTGCAAAGATCTGCCCAGCGCCCGCAAATTTAGTTTAGCCACCCTTTGGGGGGGGCGAACTCTTTTTGGGGGGGGAATTGCTCACTTGTAACAATGATGCAGCGGGAAAAACTGCTTTTGTTTCCTGACTCGTCAGGAATATTTGATGGTACGGAGTAACAGAGCGATGGAGGAGCGGGGCGGGGACTTTTGCTCCATTGCTTTTCACTGCCGCCAATCGAGAGGGACCGGTATACAGTAGGGATACATTTGCCCGCCCGCCCCCGAATTCGGCGCCCGGGTGCACCGCACCCCTTGCACCCCTGGGTAAATACGGCCCTGAACTCAGCCATAGCTTTGATGATGCATTGTCCAGGAATGAGATGGCACATTTCTGTGAGCTGCCCCAGAGGGAACCAGAGATTATGCCAGCAGAGTCCTGGGATCTCAGAAGACAGAGGCAGGCAGGCAGGCAGGCAGGCAGATGGAGCCATAATGTTGTTACTCAGTGTTGTAGCACTCAAGCAAATTGTTGGAGAGCAGCTGGGAGTTCAGTGCTTTTAGGGCATACAGTGATTGAGATCAAGCTATATATAGTGAACAAGAACATGAGAGGTTTCCTCTGAAATAGCTCCTTGGGTAGTTCTATTTGATTTATAACAAAACGTTTCTCAATTTGATGGTGTTGGAATTTAATGTCCAAAATGGCCCAGGACTCACTCACTTCAATAATCATCTCTTCCTCTATGAGCCTGTCTGGTTCAGCTTGCTGCCATCCCATGTGAGGAGATACTGTACTGGTTGTTTTAAATGTATACGTATGTATATCTGCAAAATTCTCTAACTAGTTTACCAAAAACTTGAATTATTTAAAAAATCAAAATCCAATAATTAAACAAAAATCAATTCACAATATACACCATACCCTAGTAGAGACAGAATAAAGAATTTGGATTAAAACCATACTAAAAGAATGAAAACAGAGGTTTATTTAAAACTATATTAAAATACTTTTTGTTTTAAAACTCAAGTTTAAAATGCCTGGATGGGGGGGGGAGGTCTTCACCTGAAGAGAGCATAAAGAAGATGCTCATCAAGACTCTTTGAATAAGATATTCCATAACTTGGGTGCCACCACTAAGAAGGTCCTCTCCAGAGATTTTAAGGTTTGGGTAGATGTATATAGGAAGATCTTTCAGGTAGCTTGGTCTCTTTACCCAATCTCCATCTATCTATCTATCTATCTATCTATCTATCTATCTATATATACACACACACACACACACATATATATATATATATATATATATATATATGTATATATATACACTTTCATAAAGAAGGGAGAGAAAAACAGTTGGATACCCTCTAACATTTTTCTGACGAAAATAGGCACACCCTAAGGAAGAGTGGGACAGCTTCTCTAAATCAGGGATGTCCCTGGAAAATAGGGACACTTGGAGGGTCTGCAACCAGGATTAGCAGAAGCTGGGTATTTTTTAAAGCACAAAGTTAAAAAAGAAAAAGAAAAAGACAACAGCTGCTCCTTCAGCCTTATAATATATCCACATGGCTACAGTGCAATGGGTTCAATGGGGCTCGCTCCTAGGTAAGTGTGTATAAGATTGCTGCCTTAAAGACACTCATATATGTAAAAACATTATTTGACAAAATAAAAGCTTCTAAAAATGAATTCCAATATTGTAACATAGTCACGGTCACCATTCCAAGTGGCATTAGTTGAATTTTTGAGCAATTTTGAGTTTTTGAACATTAAAAAACAAGACTGCTAATGTAAATACAGTCAATTTTTTCCATATGGCCTCAAAGGAGCAACTTGCACAAGAGTTCATCTGGAGTTTTGCAGACTAGGGCCAGGATTCAGGTTGATAAATAAGAAATAAAAATTATGGGAGGGTAGGAATTGAATTACTACCATGGATTCCCTTGATCTGAGGCATGCCTTGTTTTGTGACCCAGAGTGATCTGCTTTGCATAAATTTGGAGGGTTGTCAATGCATTTCACAGCTAAGTTCATCTGTTTGTGTTATGCACTTGTTCTCTCTTTGTACTTGAGACACAGTTGGAGCATGTTACGATCACATTTCTGCCTGAGTAAACACTTAGGAATGATATGTGCACCCTGAGCCTAAGAGGGAAAAGGGAGCAAAAACCAGTAGAGGGGAAGGGGAAGCATGCATAAACTCATAACCTTATGGCACATACTTTGGCCATCCCAGTTCTTTGCATTTTTGAGACCCATACATGTAGACCTATGGGAAGTGGAAGCAGGTGGCAATCCATAGCAGTTATGGCTATCTTTGCTCTACTTCTTGATCTGAAATGAAGTATTCCTTTGATGCCAACTCTGTACATGTCCAGAGGCATTTTGACTTGGGGAGGAGCCATTTGCTGCTTTGCCTCAGGCAGCAAAAAGTCTGGGGGCCGGGGCTGACCAAAATCTTGTTACGTACCAGAAGTGTCAGCGTGTGCACATTTTCCTTTTACACTCTTTCCATGTAAGGAAGAATTCATGGTAAAACACTTCTTGGTGTCTTGATTAATTAATCCGACAGGCCACAGCAAGATCCAGAAAGGAGCCAAGCTTTTCTGCAGTGTTCAGCATTCTTGGTCTAGCAGAATTTTGCATGCTAAATCACCTGGTCTCTGGCGGGAAGCAAAACAGACTGGCGTGATGTCACTGCATTTGACTCCTAACATCATGCTAGGGTGTAAGAGAAACTTAAAGGAGAAATTTGCTCCTAAGGTTGTGGTCTGAAGCCCATGTATTGGGAATAAGCAAACCAGGCCTGGATGAGAGACAATTTGGTCCAAATCAAACATATTTGCTGTGTTTCACAAAAAATATGGTTTCAAAATGGTTTATGAAGCCACGAACAAGCACCAGGTCTGCGTGCCCCTCCCTTGCCCTTCTCCTTGCTTCCTGGGAACTCTGGTTTCCTATTGGTTAAGTAACCAGGATTATAAGTATACTACTATGAGTTCTTTTGAGGAAATGTGAGCTACACATGTAACAAATAAATAAGTGCATACCATTTTGAACTTTCCCAGATCCCTTTCCCCCCAAAACCACACCTGGGTGTGTCCCATCCTGATACCATAACATCTGTCTGGAAGAAAGATGAGGTTTGTTTGCCTTTTAAGCTGAACATGACCTTCTGACTGCCATCTGTAAACAATTTAAGGCAGCAATTACAATATTATCTTACTTTTGCTGAAAGAAACACAATGTTTGCAAAGGACAAAATATTTGATCATGAGAATTTATCTAGAATGTAGCTCTACAGTGAATGAACAAAGGAACATATTGAAACCATCTCCTGTTGCTTTCAATATTCCTGTTGAAAGCAATATTAGAACAACTTTAAGTGCAATCATATATATGATGTCTTTCCTAAAAATAATTAAATTGTCAGTATTAATTAGTCAAAGAAGTTGCTGATTACATATCCAGAACATTACCTGTGTTGAGGTGCTGTAACATTGTGTTTATGCAGACAATGAAATAATTACTGTATCTACTTAAAAATAAGTTGCTTAATTAACAGATAGACTCTCAAGGTAAAGCTCAGCCCAATCCCAGAAAAAGGGGACTTGTACAGAGATTACATGTCTTCTAAGCCTTGGGAGTACCAAAGCCTAAACTAATGACTTAAACCTGTCAGCGCCATATTCTCTGGTGGTTGGGGAGGGAAACACCAACAGTGGCAGCAAGAGACAATAGAGTCGATAGAGGAGGGCCATAGCTCAATGGCAGAGCATCATCTTTGCATTCAGTAGGTCCCATGTTCAACCCCAGGCAACTCCTGGTAGGACCGGGAATGTCTCCTGCCTGAAACCCGGGAGAGCAACTACTGGTCAGGGAGCACATGGACTTCCTACATTGTTCCTGCATGTGACAAAATGGATGCAAAGAGGCAGCAGGTTGGGTGATAGAAAGCAATGGGAGAAAATATCAAGCTCTAGCACCAAATTCCAACTTACAGACTGATCCTATGCATGTTTACTGAGGAAGTCCCATTGAGTTCAGTGGGAGTCTCTCCACAAAAGGCGCACATAGGATGAGAGCCTTAGTCTCGCTCGATATGCTAACTACAACAGCATGATTGTCAACACCTCTGTGGTTTCTCCCTTGCTGTGCATCTGCTATATGTGGCTCTGGAAGACCGAATGCTTATGTCCCATGCTCAGAGCACATCTGCAGGTATGACTTGGGGCAGCATGGGAGTAACCACACCCAGAGGAGATAACATGTGAAAGGGGCCACTCCTTTTAGACGGCTCCTAGGTTTCTCAGTTAGGAGAAAGTTCAAAGCTAGGCATCTGTCTGGCATATTGCACAGCTGTGTTTTGGTAATGTATACTGAACATCAGTAGTTCCATATGTGAAAATGCTCCCGCTCAATTAAAACAACAACACTTAGTGGAAAGAGACAGATTAGCCCATTCTCTGCCTCTGATATTTAAACTTCCAGGAGCTGCTGAGTCTTGCCCCTGTGAAAGACGAGGCTGTGGCTTTGAGGGGCTATTGGTCTAACCTTGTGTGGTTACTGATCATCCGCAGGGAACAGGTAGCAACAGCACATTTCATCGTGGTTTCACAGCACTTTCGTTAAGGCCAAGTGCGCCTTTGAATCTTAGCAGGCAGCGGCTTAAAACTTTTTTTTTTTAATAATATTTATTAAATTTTAAAGGGTTACAAAAAGAAAAAATTAAAAAACAGCATATTTAAGAAATACAAAACATCACATCACAATAATATAAAAAAAAGCAAAAAGAAAAAAAAGAGAAAATACAATAAATCTTCCCATATCTTATCTTTCATTTGCTTATTTCCTTGACCTCCTCACACCTCCCTTTTTTGTATTCTAGCTCAATTAACTATTTCAGCAAATCCTTTCCCTCCTTTCCAGTTTTTGTCCTCTATTTTATCTTAATATAATGTAACTTTACTTTCCCTCCTTCACCGTTTAGCAATCTATTTTTCCTTAATCCTTTATAACATTTCTGCTAAAACCGCATTATTTCATTCCAACATCCTTCTAACATTCCTTAATTTTACAGTGTTTCTGTAAATAAACTTTAAATTTCTTCCAATCTTCTTCCACCAACTCTTCTCCCTGGTCTCGGATTCGGAGACGGCTTAAAACTTAATTCCTATAACACTAAAGATTCCCACTGGCAAAGGTGAAGATGGTTAGATGGTCACTGCTTTTGCTTCCTGCTTGTGCATAAAATGGTTACAAGCATGGCAGCACACCCAAGCTGTAATAATCACTGAACCTTCTATTTATTTTCAAAGAATGCCTTCCTTCCTCTGGGTTTCCCCTCTGTCTTTCGCCCCCACAGTCTAACCCTGCCCTGTCTGGTATGTGGGCTTATTTGTTTCTAAGCATAACAAATGTAAGTTAACTTTTAGCCATGGTGACTTATCTGACAGCTCAGCACGCCGTTGGGTTTTGATGGGTAGAGCCCTGCCTCACAAAGTGGCAGTGAGCCAAACCACAGGGTGTTTGGGGTGTTTTTAAAATGGATTCTCTCCCCCTCCCCCATATTCCTCATAATTTTCTATTTAGTTTTCACAAGAGAGGAACCTGCTGTTTTGAGGGGAAACATTATTTACTCTTTCTGCATCATACTTTGCTGATGTGTACAGGATGCTGGCTGATAAAGTTAACTGGTGGGTTTTTCCCCTGTCTTCTCCAATCTCCGTAGAGAAAAGCAAACAAAACAGAAGTCTTCCTAGAAATCTCCACTGTTGATAAACTACAGCTTCATCTTAACTATCTGCTTTCCAAAGTGCACTGGCCCAACTTCCTGCTAAGACTGCAACCTCAAACGCACCACAAAGATAGCGTTTAAAAGTATAAGGTGCTTTATAGATTCTTTTATATCCTTTTAAATGACACCACAAACCAACAGTGTTGTAAAATCCTGAATATATCTTCCCCATTGGTTCATCATAAAGTTGTTCTCTCTTTTTTTTTACTACATTGTTTTTACAAAGGTAGCCACAGGTACGCCAAGGGAATGATCATTAAAGCTTGTGGACAACAGTGGTACATTTTCAGGTGATCCCCAAGACTATGATAAAAAAGAAGAAAATATCTATGGCCTTTTCCAGAGCAAATACACACATGAAACTGCTGAGTGGGGTTATCCAAAGTTTTTGGAATGCATTGTCAGCATGATGTTGATGACACACAGCTCAACTTCTCCTTTACACCTTCAGGTGAGGCAGTGGATGTGCTGGACCAATGTCTTGCCTTGGTAATGGACTGAATGAAAGCCAACAAACTGAAGCTCAATTCACTGTTAGCGGGTGGCTCCCTAGACCGGATGGCTGAGAGGCTGCCTGCCCTTAATTGGGTTACATTCTCTCTGAAGGAGCAGGTATGTTGCTTGTGGGTACTTCTGGATCTTCTGCTGTCCCTTGAGGCTCAGTTGGTGCTGAGTGCCTTTCTACAGCTTTGGCTGGTGGCCCAGTTGCGCCCCTCTCTGGACAAGGATAGCCAAATTTCTGTTGTTTACGCTCTGGTAACCTCTAGGTTAGATTACTGCAACACTTTATACATAGGGCTGCCTCTGAAGACAATTTTGAGACTTCAGCTGGTGCAGAATTCAGCGGCCAAATGGCTCACTGAGGCAAGATGGTTTGAGTGTAGAACACCAATCCTGGCCCAACTGCTCTGGCTATCAATTAGTTTCTGGTCCCAATTCAAAGTGCTGGTTTTGACCTACAAAGTCCTAAATGGCTCAGGACTGCAATACTTCAAGGACTGCCACTCCCCATACAAACCGACCCAGACTCTGCATTCATTACCTGAGGCCCTCCTCCATGAGAGGCCTGGAGAGTGGCAACATGAGAATGAGACTTTTCTGTGGTGGCTCCCAATTTGTGGAATGCTCTCCCCAGGGCGGCTCGCCTGGTGCCTTCATTACATATCTTTAGGCACCAGGCAAAAACATTTCTCTTTAAACATGCTTTTGGTTTATTAACATTCATTTTAAAGGTGTTTGTGGGAGACGGGTTATTGGTTTGTTTTTGTTCTTGTTTTTATTATGTATTTTGTGTCCTCATTTTGTATTTTTATGTTGTTAACCACCCTGGGATCTTCAGATGAAGGGCAGTATACAAATTTAATAAACAAATGAATAAGGAATAACAAATATGTTACATGCAGGACGTATCCATCTTCATGATAAAGTAGGCCTGTGCCCGACGCAAAACAGGCCTCTGGTGGTCTGCATTAGATTTTGTGGGGTTCTCGCGAGACCTTGCTGAAACCCAGAAGCCGCTGCCACAACTTCTCACTTCTTCAGCAGCGGTGGCGGGAGGATGGGGGCACAGAGGTGTTCCTTAAATCCACTTTAGAGCAAAGGTTTCTCTTTCCATTCACTCTTCACATTCAGAAAGGCCAAACTTGAATGCTGAAGGCAACTACATTAGGGATGGGAGGGAAAAGCCACCTACCAGAATGATCTTGTCCTGCAGCTGCAAAGTTGGTGAATTATCCATTAGTGGAGTCAGCCTGGCCACATTTCGCATTTGTCAGCCTCTCTGTGTATAGATATACTTTGACCATATGTAGCCAAATGGTCAATAAGACAAGGGCCCAAGTGCTGAGTCATGTTTAACTCAGCTGCTGTTGAGTCAAATATCAGTTGACTCAAATCCATTTAAGGACCTTAGGGGAAGACCTCAAATGATCAGCCGTATCACCCCATTGCGAGTCACAAAGGAGTCCAGGCATGCACACTCTACCTGTGTCTGAGAGTTCTGTCTATTGTCTAGCCCTTAGAATAGCAGATTTTCAGTTTATTATGAAACATCAGGACTGAGAAATAAGTCAAGAATGGAAAGAAGAGTGCATCATTTGATTGGAAGGATGGGTAACTTGTGGCCCCACAGATGATTAAGGATGATGGGAGTTGTAATCCAATGACATCTAGAGGCCCACATGTCCCCACAGCTGCTTTCATAGTTTCCTGTCTGTGGTGGGTTCTTCAACAGTTCACCCCACAAAATACAAAAAGCTAACAGATTTTCTCATCCATACAGATGTTTCTGCATTACTTTTAATGCAGCTTTCATGCTACAAAATGCAAAGTTTGAAATCAACATACTACATACAGAAAGCACACAGGCCAAGGACCTGCAAGGCCAAGGAAGTCAAGAGTTTGATGTTCCAAATCTATAAGAATTTGCTGACAGAAAATTAATCATTGTATTAAGATTTCTATTTTTCTAAAAATCTTCTCAAGCAATACCAAAGGAAAAGAAGAATGAGAAGCAAAATTATCAGAACACAGGCCATAGCTGGCTCTTCCTTGACTTGGGGCAGTCAAGATCACCAGAAAGAGAAGAACCCAAAGAGGCTGGAACGGAATCACTAAGAAGCAACTCTGAGAAATCACATTGTTTCTCTACTGTTTTAAAGCCAGAAAGGAGGATTAAATCATGGCTTCTCTCATCCCACTGATATCATTCACACTCTGTTCTTATTTGTTCTATGAGAACAGGAGTATCTGGTTTGCTCCAACAAAATGGAAGGAAAGGGTGGTTCTGTTGTCATTCATGGCTGCCAGGAAACTCCAGGCTTTGAACTTGCATGAAACCAATTTTCCAGATACATTTTAATAAGGGTTTAGGCCCAATTTGGGCATGGAAACTGCCTTGGTTTGCCTTGTATGGTGACCTTTGTCAGGAGAGAGACTGTGGGAGTGTGTCCCTGTTAATTCTGTTTGAGTTGCAGCTGTTTGAGTTGTGCATGGGTGGCATCATTTTGTGGTGGTTCCATTCTATGTGGATGAAGGGTGGTATAACAACAACAACAACACACAAAACTGTTATTAGTCTTTTATTGAGTTAGTAATAACAAAGCTAATGCACATTGACCAATCTGGTTTTCTACCAGGCAGACAAATTGCAGATCTGATTAGGCAAATGTTAAATTTGATTCATTGGTGCAAAAAGACTAATTTCTCTCTAGCATTACTGGCCATGTGCAGTTAATGCAAGAATCTTGAACTTGCCTTGGTAGTTAATGGGCAGCCAGTGCAGCTGTTTTAACAATGGTGTCGCATGTTCTCAAGCAGAAGCTCCCATCAACAGTCTGGTCACCGCATTCTGGACCAGCTGGAGCTTCTGAATGAGACCCAAGGGCGGCCCCACATAGAGCGCATTACATCACAATCTGGAATTCTTAGACTCTCTTTTCTGGTGGAAATTGCTTCCCGCTGATCTTCTGGGTTCTATACCATATGACTACTGGTCGAAGGCCTGGCCACCTCATCAAAGATTCTGTAGTAATAAAAAACAAACTCTCACTTTGTTATTGTTAAACATTGTTATTGTTAAACATGGCATACATATGAAATACATACTGCTATGCATGGGGCCTTGGATGCCAATAACTTGTATTTCCTGTTTTTCTGAAGATGTACAGTTAATACTGTGCCTGGATTTTTCCTTTCTTCATTTCTGCTGATTATAAATGTCTGAAAATCAATAGAGAATAATAGTAGAGCAGGCAGGAAAGAAATAAAGAAACATAGATCACTGATGTTAATTAAAATTTTATCAGAGTTGTTTTGTTGATAAGACATATTTTTTAGATCTACTGTTTTGACACTGTTGGATATTTTATTATTCCTAGCGGTTTTATCATTATATTTACAAAGTTGTCTTTAATAATATTAATAATAATAAACCAACAAGGCAATTTGCAAATGGTTAAATAAGTATTTTCCTTTTACTTTGAAAGTAAAGCAAAGCTGCACTGCAAGACCCAAGCATTTAAACAACCACCACCCAACTTTCTGGCTTCATTAGTCTCCATAAACAATGTCATTGTACAGCAACCAAATAGCTGTGAAAGATAACTAAGACATTTGACTTCTAGACAAGTTGAAAATACAGTAGTAGCTGCTAACCCGTCACAGTACACACATAGCAGTGGCCACTCAAATCTAATCATTTTGCAAGAAATATTTAGCATTGTTTTGCTCACACAAAAATGTGACCATAGGACAATTACATCCAGAAACATGGGAAGCTAAAATGTCTGTATATACTGTGAATATGCTAAGCACACCAGCTGAAGACTGAATACCTTTGTGTTTTCCCCCTTTCTGCGCACGGATATTTCCTGCATTACCACGGCCTATTTAAGAGCCAGTAAATTTTTGTTATGTCTAGTAATGCTTCTTGGATGACTTTTTGGCTCTCATTTATTTTCTATATCTTTGGCATAGATCATGCTTGATATTTTGGATGTGAGCGGAACCCGGAAAGTCATTAAGTTATAGAGCAAAATAAATAACGTAAGAGCCAGTGTGTGGTGTGATCTCCCAGCCCCTCCACCCCCATCCCAGCTTGGCCTTGGATGGAGGTCAGCGGTGGGTCAATGGGCAAGGCCTCTCAACCTGCTCAGAGCATGAGAAGGAAAAGGGAGAGGCAGCATGTGAGAGAATGTGCGCATGAAGACAGAGCCACATGGACTCGATCCTACAGACTGGGGATTTCATTGGCTTTGTTATGTAATAGCAAGCCACTGAGTAATAAACAGCATATTCACTCCAGAAAAAATGCAGATACAGTGGAAGGTTATACTGTGAAAGAAGTACCACAGGGTTAGACTTGTGACAAAACCCAAGAGAAAGGTGTTACTGATCAGCTTTCCCGCCTCTCTCTCCTCTAATCCTTCTCTTATACAGTAGCTACAGGACAAAGGCTTTTGTTCAGATTCCAGAGAGTTATCAGGAAGGTTTGGAAAAGGCTGCTCCCATGAGAAACTTATTTGTCCTCTACTCCCATGAGAAACCTACTTGCAGTATAATAAAAAGGTAAAGGGATCCCTAACCATTAGGTCCAGTCGTGACCAACTCTGGGGTTGCGGCGCTCATCTCGCTTTATTGGCCGAGAGAGCCAGCGTACAGCTTCCGGGTCATGTGGCCAGCATGACCAAGCCGCTTCTGGCGAACCAGAGGAGCACATGGAAACGCTGTTTACCTTCTTGCCGGAGCGCTACCTATTTATCTACTTGCACTTTGACATGCTTTCGAACTGCTAGGTTGGCAGGAGCAGGGACTGAGCAACGGGAGCTCACCCCGCTGCAGGGATTCGAACCGCTGACCTTCTGATTGGCAAGTCCTAGCCTCTGTGGTTTAACCCACAGCGCCACCCACGTCCCTGCAGTATAATAACCCCTGTATTAAAACATGGGTGACAAGGGAGCTGACTGTGTGAAACCAGTTGGTGAGCTTGGATGCTTCATTTTTGCTCTTGACGAACCAGTTCAGCCTGCCCCCTGCAGAAGAATGGCGAATGAATGAATGAATGATAAAAAACTGTACCTTGTAGTTGTTTGTGGCCCGGCATTAAGCACCTCTGAAACCCCAGATTTGTTGTACGCCCTGATAGCTTTAGCACACTATTCAAAACCCACAATCTTCCTTTATAAGATCCTATTGCGCAATGGGAAATTTGATGTGAATGGCCTAAAGGAAGACTGAAAGAGGGAACTGGACTACTCCATACCCTTGATCCACAGTTATCTTTCCTCTGCTCTTTCCAAGCACAGTTTGCGCTTTAAAGCTCCGTGCCTGAGTGTGCTTTTGTTTGCTCCAGTTTTCCCTGTGAAAACCCGCTCTTTTGGGGACATGTTGGACTCATCATTGTCTTTGTCAGAAATGCCTTGCATCCAAAGATATCTTCTGGTGCTGTGGTACTGTGGGGTGGCACTGGAAAAAATATGATCTGGCCATTCCTTATACTAGCTCTGTTTCGCACCCAAGTAATTGTCTGCATGAACTAGGGCCTGGGAGAATTCCTGGCATTATCAGATGTTCATTCTATACTCAGTGATATTCCAACCCTGTGGACCTTAGCAGAGAGGCAACATCATTGGACTTTGCACACATTGTTGGGTGGTCCAAAGGCTGGTGTTAAACCCTGAGAGGAGTTGTTCATGGTAGTGGTTGTTCATGTGGTGTCTTAGCCACTATCCTACAGCAGAATGTGCCACTCTGAAGAGGCCTAACACAGCCTGCACGATGGCAGAACCATTGTGGATCCCTCCTCCCAAATTCCACAGCATGTTCTTCCCAACTAGATGTTAACATTACCCATCAAGTGCAAGGATTTCCCATATTCCTAAACTGGGACAAGTAAAGTCAAACAGCCATTTTAAACTGTCTCGGAGAGAGGGCGGGGGGAGACCGACCTGTCAAACTGAAGATATGGCCATGAGATGAAAAACATTATTTTGCCTTTTTAAGATATTCGTTCTGTGGTGTTCCCACTTATGCTCCAGTAGAGCAGCTGCCAAGGTACTGATTATTTCTTTTATTATAAAGTAATACAATACAAGATGGTAGGGTTTTATTATTTGTTTTACCTTCCACATTTATTATATTAGAAGCCTGACACACTGTTCTCACTTGCTTCCTCTGCCAGGCTGAGGCTCCCTCTTCCTACTAAAATAAAACCCCCAAAAGCCGCCCAGGGAGTTTCCTTCCAAAAAATAACAATCCTCTTAAAGAGATATCACAACGCACACCCCAGCCCTTCCTCTTTTTTATTTTATGTTAAAGATTTAGTGGTGTGGTGCCCCCCAAAAAATGTATGACTTCATGAGGAAAAGCCCATTTGGAAGAGACATTCATCATCTTCTCAACCAGATTGAACTGTTCTAGGACTGAGCCCAAGCGACTCGCTCTTTCTCACAGGCATTTCCAGCAATGATAAAAATGTCTCCCTTTTCCATGTCATTCATTGCTGCTTGAGATGATGTTGGCTTGTGCTCAGTTACTTTCAGTGTGTCATCATGCAGTCAAGTCTAAGGTAAGCCACATCTGAACCAAACATTTAAAGCACTGTTACGCTTGCTTTATGCATGAGGCTCCCCTCAAATGAGCAGGAAAGTGTCCTTTGCTATGTGTGCTGTGCATTGTTAGGAGACTCCCCTGTTTCCCCCACAGAACTACAATTCCCAGAGTTCCCTAGGAAGAGGGATTGACTGCTAAAGCCCACGGATTATGGTGGTGGTAATATATAAAAGGAAGGGCTGGAGGACTTGGAACGTTGGTACTTGTGTGGGCCACCTACCAGAGAATCTGAGATTCTCACAACAGTAGCAAGTTCATCCAACAAACACCCCAAGGAGGCAGTAAAGTATTATTACCCCATTTGCAAGTGCATTGCCAAAAATGACACAATTCTGAAACAGAACTGGGAACAGAACCAATCAATCCTGAGGTCTAGTTCAATGCTTCTCATAACCACAACTCCCTCCTTTCCCATGTTTGGTCTGGACACCTGTTCTTTGGACTAAGCCGGGCCACTTCAGGTTTGAATTGCATTTGAACCAACATCTTAAGACGTGGAAAGCTACATATTCCATTACCAGGACCTCCAGAGACAAAGTGCTAATCAATGTAAATATGAGCTGGTAATTCCAGCTCAGTTTCTAAACCAGCAAATGTCAATATGCTTTAAGTTATTGGGATTCAATACAGTAAAGAGGGTGGGTTCTTTTTCCTTTCTTTTCTTTTTTCCAAGGGAACATTAGAAAATCAACTGCAAGGATGTGAGCAAAGTTTAAATGTCAGCTGAAAAAACAGCTGCTAGTAAAAAAAAGAAAGAAAGGAAAGAACACCATTCTATGAGCCAAAGGAATTGGGTTGGGAGGAAGTTGAAATGAGAGATGTTTAGCTCTTTAATGCTCCCGTGTGAGGATAAAAGGGCGAGACATAGGGAATCTTCTTTGGCATAAGGTCATTCTGGAAGTTTCTGTTCTGCAAAATCTGATCTCTCCATATGGCTGATTTGTGCAAGGAAAGTGGTCCAAGCATATGTGGCAGTGATGTAACAAGCCTAAGAGCTCATGCACCTGTGGCTGCTCACGGCCACATTGAGCTCTCCAGAAGCTGCTCTGCGACTTGCCAGAGCAGTTTTCCATCACAGATGTGTAAAACATTTTTGCAAATATGGGTTTCCTGACCCATTCGAGCTATTTTCCCCCTCTCCTTGTGTTTTCGTGAATATGGAGATTAAATTGCTTCTGAAAGAAAGCTTACCTTCTGTTTTAGAATTTATCATTCACTTCTCTTTAATATTATGCCACACGTCAGCTGTCAGCTAAAGAGATTGTTATCTGTCAGCTTTGGCTTTGGGGCATTGAGTAAAAACAGTGAGCAAGACAACAAAGAGTTCAATGGCACCTTAAAGACTAATAAATTTACCAAGGCAGAGCCTGCCTCACCAGACGGATGAGGAATCACTCGGACGCTCAAGGCCCAACTAACCCCTTCTTTAGCAAGCAAGTGCTCCTTCTTGCTTGTGCTACTACAAGCACCGGGACCCCTCTGCAACAAAGCAATGCCCTTTAATTCAGCAAAATATCACTTTCCACATAACAGTTCTGATCTTCAGATAATTGGTTTATTATGCTGTAAGCCAGGGGGAAGAAACAGAAGGCTTACATGCTGTGCTGTGTGGCAACTTTCTCATGCAGTGGCTGCTTCACTGCACTTGTTGTCAGGCAGCCCCACTGGGGATATAAGGGGGAAAGAGGAGGGGGGATTTTCTGTGGAGGAAAGCCATATGTCGCTGGAGTGAGTCCTATCTGAGACTCCGTATAACTGCAATGGAAAAGCCAGAGGTTGAGGGATTTCTCTCTCTGACTGCAGCACAAGCCAAAAGAGATTGGGGAGCATGACCTCCCAGCATGCTGCTTACTTGGAACATTAAAGGATGGGGGAAATGTGGCGTGGGGAGACGGGGAGAAAGAAAAAGAGAGAGAAAGCATGAAATATTCACAGATAAGTGGTGGGAATAAATTGGCCACAAGACAATCCTGAATCGTGCTAACTTGGGTCATTAAGGGCTCATCCACACACCTGTTTGCTCCACCTCTTTTGTCCTGGAAAACCCAAGGTTTAGTGCTCAGCTGGAATAAATGGCAACCAGGTTTCCCACAGGTTTCCTGTTTGTTCTGATTTAGCGCTAAAGAATGGGTTTTCCAGGGGAAAGCAGCGGGGCAAAGGCAAAGCCGCTCTGACCTGTGCCTAGAAAATACGGGGCAAGCGGAAAACCTCTCAGACTCCTGCCTTCTGGGCACGGGATGAGTGGAAGTGTGAACAAGCCCTCTCTCTCGCTCTCTGTAGACCATGGTACTAAGTGAGTGTTGTAAATCCTGCTCCTTCTAATCTCAGGTGAGAATAAGCATAAATGAGACCAATGGGGAGGACAGAAAGCCCCTTCACAATGATGCCTTGTGTAGGGGGAACCCACATGGTGTCTTCCAGTTGTTTTGGACTACAACTCCCATCATTCGCTGCCAAAATAGCCAGTGGTAGGGGATAAGTGGAGTTGTAGTCCAAAACATTTGTACAGCATCATGTTGGCTAGCCCCGGCCTGGTTCTTCTGTTTACTGCTATGCTTAATTCATATTCTACGCCCCACAGGGAAGACACCAAGAATACAAAAGTAGCCGTCTTCTGCACAGAAGGTCATTGTTCAAATTGACCTTACTGCACAGGTCAGCCCAGTAGTACGGCATGTCTCCAAAGAAGCACCACATGTAATATTTACACATGCAGTAAATCCAATATAAATGCTATGCCCCACTCACTGCATGCACCATCATGCACAAGTGTTTTTGGCAACCTCCATATGACATGATTAAATTCTGAAACGGCATCTAGTCTCCAGATTTTTTTTTTAAAAAAGATTGCAATTTACCAGTAATAATGGCATTGTGAATTGCCCTGCCTTTTGACAATTGCTCTGCCTTTAGAGAGAATGTTTGCATCTAATACTTTTTCCATTGTGTTATTGTTTTTATTTTTATTTTATATATTGTGATCTTTTCTGTGAACTGCCCTGAGACCTCCAAGTATAGGGTGGTATATAAATTCTAATAATAATAATTAATAATAATAATTCAAAAGAGAAGTGGAGTCACATGACTCCCATAGTGCGCAGCTGCCCCTACAAACTCCTCACACTGAGCTCCAGGGCCAATAGGAGACGGGAGTACAGGGGTTGTGGGGCGTCACCGTGGAACTGCAGACGCCAATTAATTTTTGGTTGTAATGTCCCAGATTTCAGTTTTTGCCAGTAGTCGTCACTCAACCCGAACAATAATTTGCTTGACTTCCGGGGTCAAACCCCAGCACACTGGTGCACTTTTTTCTGCCTCTTTCCCACTATCAGAAGTAGAATGGGGTAGAATGGGGTGCACAAAAGCCAAAATGCTCATAATGTGCAGCCTCCCCTCCCTCTAGGGGTCCTCAATTAACCTCAAACACTGAGGGCTGAGTCACCTTTAAAAAAAACACCTTCAGGCAAGAGGAGCACATCACTTTAGGCCGTGTATGGTTTGGCCTAAGCAGTCCTTTTCTTATAGAAAAAAAATGTGTTGGTATTCACCATGAAGCTGCTACAGTAAACGCCTCACTTTTAATCAGTGTTTTTAATCTAGAAATAAAGTGCTGCTACTGCAGACCCTTGAGTACCCCCAGGGGGGAAAAACCACCGGCCCTAAGACTCTCAGGTCAGGGGCTTGAAAAAAGGCAGCATATTTTCAAAGAGTATGTATTGCGAAAAAGACCAAAGACAATTGAACAAGGGCTTAAGATTCATACATTTTTTTAAAGTGAAACTTTTCTATTTTGGAATTCCACAACATCATTGGTGGTTACATCAGAGTACTTTCTCAGGGATGAATCAGGCCCTCAACATTGTGACTGTTAAGAGCAGACCCATCTGCATCAAAGGACATTTTGTTAATCATTGATCGCTCATCTGCTCAGATCCTGATGTCAAATGTATTCATCCTCAAAGTTCTCAGACAAATGCTACCTCACAGAGGGACGCTGCCACAACAATTTCAAGTCACCTGTATATAAACAACTCATCCCACCTGTCCATATGTATCTCCACGAGAGCTTTGTAGGGAAGCTTGAGGAATTCAGTTTTTGTGGATTCCAGCATGAACTGCCCTGATCCACATCTACCAGACCAATGTGCAGATGGGGACTTCATTATCTACCATCTTCCATGCTTTCCAAATGTTCCAACAAAGTTCTAAGTTAAGAGGTAGGCCAGAATATGTTTGAAAATGCTTATTTTAGGAAAAGAAAATACGTTCAGAAATGGGCAATTTTTCAAAAAATTACTTTGGATCCAGACTACCCATGGGCAGAATTCCATCTGTGAGGAGAGGCAATTTTTGCTGATGCCTTGATCCCACTGCTGTCCCCTTTGCCTCACAAAAAGCTGTTCTGTAGCGGCAGTGGGGCCTCTTGAGCACCATGGGGTCAGGAGAGGGAGAAGGAATCAGCAAAAATGGCGGCTTTCTTTTTGCCCTGTTGAAGCTTTAACTGAATCTCAGTCCCTTTCAAGAACAGAAGGAGTCGTTTTGCTCTGGGAAGGGTAAATCTGGCTCCAACCTATAATATTTAAACATTTCCATCTCATGTGGATTTTGTGGGAATGGGATGGATGAATTTATGAAGCAGTAGGGGACGTGAGTGGTGCTGTGGGTTAAACCACAGAGCCTAGGACTTGCTGATCAGAAGGTCAGTGGTTCGAATCCCCGTGATGGGGTGAGCTCCTGTTGCTCGGTCCCTGCTCCTGCCAACCTAGCAGTTCGAAAGCACATCAAAGTGCAAGTAGATAAATGGTGTTTCCATGCGCTGCTCTGGTTCGCCAGAAGCAGCTTAGTCATGCTGGCCACATGATCCGGAAGCTGTTCGCCGGGCCAATAAAGCCAGATGAGCGCCGCAACCCCAGAGTCAGCCACGACTGGACCTAATGGTCAGGGGTCCCTTTACCTTTACCTTTAGTGGCGCAGGCTGGAAACAAGCCAGCTGGATCCCTATCTGGGTGTTATCATTAAGAGTACAGAAAACATATAGGGGGAGGGACGGTGGGAATGAGTGTGCCAGCACAGGCCCTTCCCCATTGCTGTTTACAACCTCTTTAAACTTGTGGGGAAGAAAAGCCAGAAGGGGGGGGGGAGAGACTCCTGTAATCACGGAGGCTTCTTACATATTCCAGAAGACAGAAAAGCCTCAATTGTAGCCTCAATTGTTTCATGAAACATCCCACAATGGGGACGTAGCTAGTACAGTGGTACCTCAGGTTACAGATGCTTCAGGTTACAGACGCTTCAGGTTACAGACGCTTCAGGTTACAGATGCTTCAGGTTACAGACTCCACTAACCCAGAAATAGTACCTTGGGTTAAGAACTTTGCTTCAGGATGAGAACAGAAATCATGTGGTGGCGGCAGCAGGAGGCCCCATTAGCTACAGTGGTACCTCAGGTTAGGAACAGTTTCAGGTTAAGAACGGATCTCCAGAATGAATTAAGTACTTAACCCGAGGTACCACTCTACACACATCCCCCCGACATGCTTTCTGTACACTTAATGATAGCACCAGAATAGGCTTTTTGCTGAAAAGGGTGTGGAAGATGGAACGCCAGACTCCAGGCTCTTCCATCCAAAGGCACTGCCAGGCACAGGCACTTTTCCCTTCAAACTCTTCACTTGCCCCAGGAAACAAGGGCAGGGAGCTGATATTGGTACTTCCCCAGGGTCCAGTTTCTGGCAGCTAATTCATAATATAAAGTGATTAAAATGAGAGTTGGGTTTTGTTTTGTTTTTCATTCTCATTTCCAAGGAGAGCAAACCATTACCAAAGTTTCTGGTTCAAACCTTCCATTTCATTGGAAAGACTCTCCAGACCTCTGCTATGCAGTTTCTGTGAAATGGGCATTTTTAGAGTAGCAGATGATAAATGGGCTGTGGACTTTGGTGCATCAAGTCCAGCCATTCCAGAGCAAGGAACATCTTCCTGGATGGCACCATATATGGGCAAATTGGTCATTCCCTGCACCATACCTTGCATGACTGTGTGCTGAATACACACCAGTCTTGACTGCGTTGTGTGAGGGTGAACCCAGAGTCTGGAAGGTCAGCACATCGGCAGTTCACTGGCATTTGACATTGTTTGTGACAACGCCAGCAAGGAATCATAAGTGGATGCTATCAAGGCTTGCTATTTGTGTATTAATGAGTCACATTGTGCCAAATTCACAACAGCCAGATGTCCCAACTGACCCAGACAAGGCACTCAGACAGATCCCACGCGTTTCATGTGTCAGTTATACCCATTCATAAAAACAGCTCCCTCCTCACATCTAATTCCTTGGGAAGGCTTAAGATCATTGTGCAATTTTCAGTATTCTTTCCATTGATTTCCTCATCAATTTGTGTCTTTCTTACTTTGTTACGTCCATAAAAATCATCTTGTGGTTAATAAAAAGGGTGGGACAGGAAGCATTGTCCATCAGAGAAAAGAATTCAAAAAAAGGACACGGAGTCCGTCCTGGAAAAATAACATTATTCTGTGCTCTTATAAGTGTTACAGCTATAGAAACAATCTTGTGGACCAAGTCAGACAGATGTTTTTCCTTTTTTTCCCCTCCCCCTTCCTCTCCCTTTGAATAGAGTTTCTCAACAGCACAGCTGAAAAACCTTTGGAAAAAACACACAGGCGGGCGTTGGAGGTGTCTGGGGCAGAGGATTGCAGAAGTTCAAGCTAGCTCTCCCTGTCAGAAATACAGCTGCACAAAAGATGGTACAGTAGAGCAGCCCAGAGCTCAAAATGACTTTTCCGGTTCTCAAGAATGGCGCAGGTCTTGAAAAAAAGCAGCTGTTCCCTCATCAGATGGAATATTTTGGCTGAAGCTATTCATTTCCCTGCTCTCTTCTGCTTATCCCAAATAGATGCCAACCTGTTCAGAGCCATAATAATACTGTCCTGTGTGCTGCACGTTTCTCATTCAGACTGCAATCCCAAACACAATAATAATAATCTATATAGCAGTAACAGCGCACATGGCATCTTCCAAAGCAAAAAGAGCAAGCCCCTGAGCCAAAGAGCTGTATTGTCAGTGGGAAAAGGCAATAGGGTGACAAGAAGAGGGGGAAAGGGGAACAGGATGAGGAAATCCAGGCTACTGACTGACAATAGTTTCCTTTGGGAGTTCAAGGCTGTTTGGAAAAGGAGCGGCTACTTCTGGTGTGTGCATTCAAGCCCTTTTCAATTCTGGTAAGCATGTGGGCAGGAGGGGGGAGTGTATTGCTTCAAAAGCTTGCAAAACGTGCTTGAGCACATCCAACCAGAGCCCTTCCCCACAGATAATCCAGGATGAGTGGAGAGGGATCATGGGGACAAACGCTGGCCCAGGCCTCCAGATAAGTAAACCTGAGCCCTACGCACAGACAAACAGTATTGGCTTGTGCATGCCGTCTGTTCTCACACTGTCTGCCACCAGGATCCTGCTCACACTATGCGTGCTGGTTCACCCTCCTTGAACCAATTACCTGAAAAGGATAAAAATTGTGTACTCCATCAGAAGCAAAGCCTGTTTAAAACCACTTCCAATTATTATGTGTCTGTGGAAGGGGCATTGTAACTCGTTTCCTTGGTCTTGATATCACCTCTGATCCAGGTTGATGAAGCATGGCAGAAACCTGCACACCTGTTTGGGCAAAGACAGTGAGTCAAGAAGTCTGTGCGTGCAGCACTAGAGGCGATGACAGCTGGAGCAAACCACGTTCAAGGGGTTGTGGGGAACAGTGACCTTTCTCAACTGCACTTTAGACAACCCTTTTGCTGGGGATGAGGACTGCAGGAGGGGTGCCAATTTGAATAAAATATTGGGGAGGGGCAGGTAAGCCCCATCCCTTCACAATCACAGTGAAGGCGGTGAAGGTCCTGTGTGAGTGTCTGGAGGCGGTTGGAGGATGGATGGCGGCTAACAGATTGAGGTTGAATCCTGACAAGACAGAGGTACTGTTTTGGGGGGACAGGGGGCGGGCGGGTGTGGGGGACTCCCTGGTCCTGAATGGGGTAACTGTGCCCCTGAAGGACCAGGTGCGCAGTCTGGGAGTCATTTTGGACTCACAGCTGTCCATGGAGATGCAGGTTAATTCTGTGTCCAGGGCGGCTGTCTACCAGCTCCATCTGGTACGCAGGCTGAGACCCTACCTGCCCGCAGCATGTCTTGCCACAGTAGTGCATGCTCTAGTTATCTCTTGCTTGGACTACTGCAATGCACTCTACGTGGGGCTACCTTTGAAGGTGACCCCAAAACCGCAATTAATCCAGAATGCAGCAGCTAAACTGGCGACTGGGAGGGGCCACCAAGACCACATAACACGTCTTGAAAGGCCTGCATTTGCTCCCAGTACATTTCCGAGCACAATTCAAAGTGTTGATGCTGACCTTTAAAGCCCTAAACGGCCTCGGTCCAGTATACCTGAAGGAGCATCTCCACCCCCATCGTTCTGCCCGGACACTGAGGTCCAGCTCCAAGGGCCTTCTGGCTGTTCCCTCACTGCGAGAAGACAAGTTACAGGGAACCAGGCAGAGGGCCTTCTCGGTAGTGGCACCTGCCCTGTGGAACACCCTCCCACCAGATGTCAAAGAGAAAAATAACTACCAGACTTTTAGAAGACGTCTGAAGGCAGCCCTCTTTAGGGAAGCTTTTAATGTTTAACAGACCACTGTATTTTAATACTCTGTTGGAAGCTGCCCAGAGTGGCTGGGGAAACCCAGCCTGATGGGCGGGGTATAAATAATAAATTCTATTCTATTCTATTCACAAGACATGGTACACACACACCATTTGAATGCCTATCAACTTGGAGGGGGCTCAAATATTTTATTGGGCCTTAGCCCCTAGGAGTTTGCTCCTATGGACTGAGGGTGTATTTTTTTTCTTAGCACAGTATGAGCATGAACATACAGAATGTGCCTGGCTTTTGGAAAGAAAGGAAAGAAAGGAAAAGACACACAATCATCTTTGTCTGCCAAACAGATAAAGCAAATGGATTACAATTTATAGGCATGCTGCTGAGGTGTTGTCTTTATTTAACAACAAAAATGTGTTTCAAGGCCATAGTTCTCTTCAAGGCCATTGTTCTCTTCAAGTCTTCCACACACCCATCCATGACGTGCCTGTTAATCTCAAACTGTGGAGCTTGGGCAGGTGATGACTGCTGAGAGACCCCCTTTACAAGCTGAGGCACACCGCAGCTGGGGGGCTGCTTTGTCTGCTGCAGTTGGTCTGAACCTCCACCCCAGTGCGTGTCACATTCAGTTACAGCAGCATCCAAAAGTTGAAGGCAGGTGACTACGCTTTCAATGATCACCGTCACCCTCCCTGACAGCTGGTGACTAAAGAGTGCGCAGGAGAATCCCCAGTTCACCTCTTACCTCAGCCACGACTTCCTGAGGTAGCCTCTGGGCCTAACTACACTTAAGGTTAATGATGCAATTTGCAATTGTGTCATGGGTTTCCAAAAAAAATTAAATAGTATGTATTTAATAGTAGTCACTGGCGCCACAATGCGCAGGGAAGCAAGACTCCAGCTTTTCCTCCACAGTTGTAATTTCAGTAACCCGTCCCCCAACCAATGTAGCAGTAGACTTTTAGAATAAACCTCCCATTGGTACCATCAAGACTCCCCACTCTGGTATTTAAGTTTGTTTAAAAACCACAATGTGGTGGCTAATCGCTTTATCGCTGTAATGGGTAGTTGGCCCCAGACAAGTCTCTCTCTCAACCTCACCTGTTGGCTCTTCCCTTCTCCGCCATAGCTGGCTACCTTACAAAACTGTTGCAAGGTTCTAGTGCACAAAGGGGCTAAATCCAGGCTAAATCCTCAGGCTAAATCCTCACTGAACCATAAAGCCAGCCTCAGGGTTCTTGTGAGAATAAAGTAGGGGGAAGTACACATCTTCTCATCAATTTTAAGCTCCTGTTAGGAAGGGTACCTCTAAGCCGTCTAAGTTGTGGACATCACCAAAGTACAGGGAAACTGCTACTAAACACTTACACAGCAGCTCGATTCCAGCATTTGAAATCTCTCACATAAAGGGAAGAGTAAAGAGGGGGCCACTTGCCCCACCCTCAACCCATTGCCGCCACCTCCCACAAGTTGAGGAGCCTGTTTTCCTACTCACAGAAGCTCCCCACGCATTTTGAGCCCCGGTTTCCCAGTTCTAGATTGTGTGTAAGTTTGCATGAATAGAACAGGCTCTTTGTTTTGAAGGAGAGCAGCTTGGACAATGATGGGGCAGAACTAGCGTGCTCAGCCTAACTCTCCGTCACTGCAGGAGAGGTTTAGAATGGAACTACAGGTGAGTAGTGGAAGGAAGGAGGTGCATTTATACAAACATACTTTACTAATTGTGCACATAGTTTAGAAAACAATAAAATGCAACCAGGGAGAAATGGTGAATCACATGTGGATGGACAGCAGATAAAAATAATAATAATATAGGTGACTAGTGTATCTTAAACTTCACAGAAGAAATACAAACATAGGGAATGAGCAAAAAGAAGAGAAAATGGGGATGCAATAAACAAAGAATATCAATATAACTCTACAAAAACCACACCATTTTCACATATTCCATAAATATGCAGAGGCTGCCGTCCAGGATTGCCCTGTAAGTATATTCAGTAAGATCTCTAAGAAGTTGCATATTTGTCTAAGGGATTGATGTGTGTGGCGTTTGCCCTCTTAGGTGTGTGACATCATACTGGGTTCGTAAGGAAAGGGTTAACTAATTGTAAAATGACTAACCAATGGGAACCCAAGGGGAGGAGTTAGAGTTAGAGTTGGGGTGGTTGAGAAGTGAGTCTGGAGAGAGAAGAGACAGAGAGGATAAGTCTGTGGGTTGGGCTAGTCTGGTGTGAGAGAGTGAGAGAATCTGTTAAGAGGAGTCAGTCAAACAGTTGATATAATCAGCCAGAAGGTATTAGGAAGGTATAGGCCAGTAAAGAAACTAAAGTTAAGAAACTGACAGAAATATTATCTGAGAAACCATAAACTTGTTGATGCTTATAAAATAAACTTGTTTATTTGGTTCAATTTTAACAACTGTCTGGACTCAGTGTTTTACCCGAGAGTAACGGGTTGGTGGCAGCGGGGAAGTGAGCACAGTGGTGGCACAGGGATCAATAGACTGTTAAACGTCTGGGGACCCTGTGTGATCGCCACAATGTGTTTAAAAAAGTAAAATAAAAATCTTATCTCAAGCCCTGTTCTCTACAAGATGGGTATAGAAGACAGATTGCATTTTGCCCCTTTCAAAATGTGTCAGGATCTCACTGTGCCTAATTCTATTCAGGCTTCCCTTCTAGCCATGCAATGCAACATCAAGGCCCCCACTTCATGATGAGACAACTGAAATAGTGCCATGGCTCTGATTCTCTTAGTTTCTCCTTAAAACAATAAAACTGATGCCTGCAATGTTCTCTTCTCTTTCCTACTCCCACTGCTAAAATGATTTTTGCCGTTCTTCAGTCTGATTTTGTTGCTTCTCCCTTCATATCCCTCTACTGGCTTCTTTTTTTCCACGCAGATCAAATTCATTTTTCCATCCTCAGAATCAAGTCTCTGCACAACTAATTCAGCCCCTCCCTCGTTCTCAGCTCATTCCCCCCCCCCTTGAATTCACTATAGCTACCATATGAAAATAT